TTATATCGAATAGGTTAATTCAATTAATTTACGTGCGGCAACACATGAAGAAGCTATTAAAGCATTACGGCAATCAACAAATATTATTCGTATGGTTATATTTCGTAGTGAAATGGTGAATGAAGAAGATAAATTTGACATAATAACAGTTGATTTTATTAAAAAATCAGGCAAAGGACTTGGTAAAAATGAAATCATATGAAAATTAAATTTTACTTTAATTCCGTTTGCTTATAGGATTTAGTATCATCGGAAGACGACATGGATATGGTGTATTTATATCTCATATTGTAAATTTTCTTTTTTTTTTCATAATTTATTATGGATCTATATTTTCGTTAAATTAGATTGAAGGTAGTTCTGCAGAAAAAGATGGTCGACTTATGTCAGGAGATTTAATTCTTGAAGTAAATGGAAAAGATTTACGTTCAGCTGCATACGAACAAGTTGCTTATACATTAAAGGTAGAAATTATTGAATATGAAAAATAATTAGTAGTTTGTTTTTTATCTATTTAGACACTACCACATGCTCGTGTTTACATTAAAATTGGACGTTTAAAAGCAAGTGCACGTGAAAATTTCGTTTCAAACGAAAATAAAATTCGATCACGCTCATCATCAACTCATAAAACAAATGATAGATAATAATTATACTTTTTATTTTCTTCAACAGTCATATATAAAATAATAATCTACTCTTTAACATATCTCTCTTGTTAATATACTTGATAATTAAAAAAAAAAACAAAAAATTTTAAATATAAAACAAAACATGTCCTTTTTTTTTCTCTTTGTGTTGCCGAGTTATTTATGCTTCCAGCTTTTTCTGATTTGTTGTTTTTTTTTTTTTTATTTAAATAACTCTTCCATGTTAAAGAGGAAATCCTTACATTTATTGCTCGGGTTTTGTAATGCTCCGGTTATTCTGTTTTTCTTTTTGTATACTTTCTTTTTTCGTCGATAATACCGAATTAGAGTGGTGAAATAAAATGACACAATAAAAGAGAAATTTTATTGTAAATAATGTGTGTTGATGATCGATGTTATTTTATTTATCTTGAATGTGTTTTTTCATTGATATTGTGCCAATTTTTAATTAATAAATACTATGCGAAAATCTTTGCTTTGATTTTTGCATGATTTTATCAGGAATGAAATATTGAAATGCTTTTTATGTGAATATAACATTCATGATTTAGATTAATTCTAGTATTTATTTTTATTCTGGAACTTATGAATATGGAAATCGATATGTCAAAATTGATTAATAAATGATGATGATAGAAACTTGATTCTAATATTAGATGATATATCTTGATATTGAGTTTTAATACAACTAATTATACTTTTTTAACTTATGTCTTATTAAATTTTATAAAAATTTATGTAAAGGATTTTTTTTACACTGAACTACATTCATCTCTTTTTTACAGACAGTTAATAGAGGGTTGAAATACAAAAAGAAAAAACATCATCGATTAATTTCTGATTTTTATGCATAATTTTTTTAATAATTTATATTAGAAAAATGTTGAATGTATACTTTTTATTTAGTTTTACTTTCAAAGAACACGTCACAATTTATATATTTCTGAATGTTCCATCTTTAAATAGAAAAAGAAAAACTGCATTTGAGAAATTTCATGTAAAAAATTCGAATCATTAAACATGTTTTAAAAGTTTAGTTTAACTTGAATTTTCGAGATATTGAATTTAAGATTATTTATGTTCTTCAGAAATACAGAAACATAAATAAATTTTTATTATAATAAAATCAAATTGATTAGAAGTGAAAGTTTCGAAATAATTGAAAAAGAAAAATAACAATAATTTTTATTTGCTTACAAATTATCGTAGACAAAAAGTGAAAAATTTATTGTAAAACAAAGAAAAAATACATATATATGCCATATATTTTGTTATGATTAATATTGAATAAATATTATAAATCAGTTTTTTATAATATAATCAATTTTGAAAAATAAATTTGGTTAAATTCTTTTTTTCCATTATTACTCAAATGTTGTGATCATCATGTTATTTTATTAGAAAGAGAGTAGCATGACAAAAATAATACATTGAGAACGGAAACATGTTTGTCACGCTATTATTATGGACTGAATTTGTATATACATAATTAACATACGACTAATATGCATGAGCTAAAATTAATTATAAAAGATTACAGACTTTATTTAGTAATTTTGCATGTCAGTGAATTACAGTTTCATATAATATTCGCATCATCTTAAATTGCAGTTCAAACCTATTTATTTTGTTCTGACAGAAAAAAAAAAGAAAGACTATTTTTAGAAATATTTTTTTAAGAAAGAAGTCCAACAAAATAATATTTCTCAATATGTATTAATCTATAATTTAATTAACTTACTGACTTAAGAAATAAAATATTTTATATTTAATAACATTCTGAATGCAGAATTTTAATTAGATTTAACAAACGATTAGTTTTATGCATTGAATACAACTATTAATCAAAATCTCTCAAAAAAATTGTCTCTCTTCGTTTGATAAGGATTACTAAAAGGTTTTTATTGTTTCTCACGTTTTCCCAAAAAAAAACCGTTCAAATCTCTCTCATCAAAGTCCGATCAACTTTATCAAAATTTTTCCAATTGGTCTCTTCAGTTATGAAGCTACCCTTCCAATCCTAGCGACCATGAGACACACCTGTAACATTTTCAATCAACTTGATATACTTAATTCAATTTATACGCTTGCACTATTGAAAATTATCAAAATTAGTTAGCAAATATCTGTTAGAAAATATTTTGGTTGCATGTGTTAACTTCAAAAACACATTTCACAATGTATCCATATTGACTTGCAAACATTGTAATCGATGATTTTGCATACTTTCACATTTGTAAGACTAGTAATTTCAATTGTATCTCAATAAAAAAAAGGCAGAAGAATTCTTTTTTCCTTAAGGGCGCCCCCTACAAAATGTCAATATTGGTCAAATTTTTCGATTTTGTGGTTTATAGCTCGTTAGATAGAGCTAAGTGTCTACTTTCGAATGCACTATAGTTTATTGATTTTATGATGAGATTTAAGGATATTGTACCAACTTTTCTGAATCTCTCATAGGAGAAAATAAGGTTTTTTCTCAAAATAGAATTTTTGAATTTTACGTTTCCGTGCGTCCCAGATTTCTTCGCCATTTTAAATGCTAGAAAATTCGGACTGGTTCTAAAATGTAGCCAAGATGTGGCGTTAAAACTTAACAGAGTCGGATTTTTCGATGTCCTCATTAATATTTATAAGAAACTAGTTTTTCTGGACCTACTCACATCAGCTGTTTCATATTTCATCAGAGATATTTTCTAAAAATAGAAGCTAGGAGGGAATCAAAAAATTGAGCCCTGTTAAGTTGTAGCGTCACGTCTTGGCTACATTTTAGAACCAGTCCGAATTTTCTAGTATTCGAAATGGCGGAGAAATTTGAGGCGTACGGACACCTAAATTTTGACTTATAACCTTATGGTAACTCTTCGTAGACTCAATGTACCGAGCTGAAATTTTTACTGTTAGATGTCTAGCTCGAGATACACTTCCACTGAAAAGTCATGATAATTGGATGCTCGAAAAGAAAATTTCATTTTAGAGGGAGTCCCTTAAATAATACATGTGAAGAAGAATATTGAACACATTTTATTAATAGATGATAGACTACAAGGACACAATTAGAACATATTGAATAAATGAATGCTCCACCATTTGAACTTAATTATGTCATTCTAATTAGTCTGTAAATATATTCAATATAAAACAGTATAAAATATATTTCTAACGAGTAGACAGAATTCACTATCCGTATTTTTGTTCATTATTAATCGCATGAAAATTTCATGAATTGTCTTCCCTTCTTCATATGGCTTACTGTACTCCCAGGTAGTCTCTCTTTTGGCAATTGCGATCGCACTGTGACCCGTAATTGCATCGTATTTCAGTGAAAACTGTGACAAACTACGATGCAGTTACACGTAGTTACGAAAAAAAATCGTAATTACGCTTGTTAGTTGGAAAAAAATTGCAGTTATGCGCAACTGTAATTTTTTCATCATAACTACGCATAACTGTGTCACCGTTCGATCGTAATCGAACACATGGGTCTTATCCTTTCTTCACAGATTTTTACAACGTGAGAGTCTTAAACATTTCTATTATACGTCGCTTAAACGTGTTTATCGGTGTCGTTTTTTAAAAGACACGTTTTTCTTGTCTGTTATGGAGAACGATCATTTGACGATATATACTATAAATATTGCAAGGTTACCATAAAATTACGAGATGGTTACTTGCTCGTAGAACAGCTTTCCTTCACTGCACATAGATCTCAATGGAAGGAACAAGAGACAAAAATTCATTGCATAGGTAGATCTATATGATTTCTTTTTCATTTTTATATCTTGAATTTAGCAACAGGGTGGATGTCATCACATGAAATAAAAGATTCTGACGGAGTTGAATAAAAACCATCTTGAAAGCTTCATATTGTTCCTGAAGACTTTCTAGCATGATATTAGTGTAATCCGTTCGTCTATTCTTTTTGTTCTCTACTTTTCTTTTCGCTTTTTTTCGTTTCTCTTCCTTTTTTTTATTCTCTTTCTCTTTCTGTCTTTTTTCCTTTCGTTTTTCTTCTGGTATATTTTTGATCTTTTGGATTCTGTATTCTCGACGTCCCTTTAGGGTTTTTAAAGGCAATAAATATAAAAATTTCATGAACTGAAACCATTGAAATAAATAGTATGTTGCTACGTTTTACCTAAACAATGATCAAAATTCTGGTCAAAACAATGATCACCTGAAGATATATGGTAAAATCCAAAACTATTTTACAATACAACATAAAATTTAATCATACAAAAATGTACATTTTCCTGGGTTAAAAGACAGAAAGAATACACTAAATGCTAATATTTACACTTTAACATTAATAATATATTTTTGTGAAGCATCTTGTGCAAAGTTTAGAATTTAAAATGAAACACCAGCTGGTATCAAAACTTCTTTTTCATTCGGATAATTTGATATATAAGCAATATCATAAGCACGTGGTGAACTAAGTTTAACATCAGTTATTTCAATAATAAATAGAGTATTTCCAAATATTTCAGCCATTTGACGATCCTTACTAGTTGATGTATATGCTGGCCAAGTTTTCCATTCACCTATATTTCGTTTGTGTGCTTCAATCTCAGTATAGGTTAATTATACACCTCTATAAACTGTACCGATATAATCTTGTGAAAGACGAGAATAATTACGCATAAGATAACATAATGGACCAAGTGTTTCTAATTTTAAACAATCATGTTCTCGTAATGCTTTATTTAGAACAAAATATAGAAAACTATCTTTTGTATAGAAATGAATACATAGTTCAGCTATTTCAATACGAGATTTTTTTGAATATTGACGAAGTTTTTCAGCCATATATCTTGCTTCCATATGACTATGGCTATCATGTAAAATAGCTTCTTTTATAATACCTTCGGCACATTTCTCAATGCATTTAGGAAAATGTACAAAAGCTTGTTTACCAGAAGAAGAATGTAGCCAAGCTATTAAAAATGGACACCAAGCATCAAATTTACCATAAGAAGAAGATGATGATGATGTTATTGAAATCGTTGAACCAAAACGATTTTCACGTAAACATTCTATACGATTAGAAATTGTTTCACGCTTAACAGGTCGTTGTTTTGTTTCATCATTTAGATTTATTTGAATAAAATGTTTAAAATCAATTCGATATCGATCTAATATTACATGTGATTTTTTTTCTTGATAGGCTTCTTCAATAAGATCTATTTCAAGATCTCGATATTTAGTCCATTGCTTTAGATTCGCATCAATGGTTGATATGTTTGGCCAAGGATTCAATTCCGATTGATAATACCAGGCAATAGTTCCACTATTCATTTTCTCACGAATGATATCAGAGTATCTATCTTATTATTCCTTCTCCATGTTCGTTGTCCTTTTGCATCCATGAATATCCACCAAAATATAAAAAATATTGCGATAAGAGAGAGAAATAAAGGAAGCAAAGAATGTTAACCCTTTCAGTCCCATATTATTTCTGCTGAATTCAATTCAAATAGACTGTTAGATTAGTTCATTTTACACACAAATACATGAACGATTATATATCTCCTTTATAGATAGTTGAAGCGAATTCTAGAACACTCTTTATAACTTCCTTCCGAGAGATTACGTACTAATTTTTTTAAATTATGTTATGAAAAATAATTATAAAATAGGTGTAGCTTTTTTTATACTATGGGGCTTCAAGGGTTAACAGAATCAACAGATCTCGATACGAATAGAATGTGTGATTACATATGAAATGTGAGTCTGTAATAGATGATTTTCATATAATTTTACTTCCTGTTTTGTCTTGTATGTTTTTCTTCCTACTTATGTTTGACAAACGAATGGTTCTTGAAGCATTTGAAGTGAGTAAAGCAAACGAATTATATAACGACCAATAGAATGAATACATGTAGCTTTACTTTTAATAGTTTACGTACAAAATTACCATGTCATGTATTTGGTGTTGAACGTACATGGGAATATTTGAAACAAGAATTCGATCGGCATAGTGATGGTTTACCCGATGCAAAATATTATGAAACAATGGGACCTGGACCTCAATTGTTTGCTGTCATTGGTAATACAGTTTATTATCATGATGATGAGAAATGGTTTCCATATATCAGTGCTACTAATATTATATACAGCATAATGAATATCGATGATTGATACATGAACAGTACCTTAATGGGCTAATGTAATATTTATAATGAATCAGGAAAATAAAATCTTCTATTATATTAATAAAATAATAAAATATTAGTTTTTTTTCGTTTCAAAAAGCGTTATCTACATTAAATCGATAAAAGTTAATTTAAAAGTTCGCTACTTCTGATCTTTGTTAATAAATACTAAATCGTTCACAAAATATTGTAGAAAATCACGAGATTTCTGTAAAGAAAAGTTCTAAATTTTTTAAATTAGTTCTAAAATCTATATTAAAAAAATGTCACGTGCTTTTCAAAAGCTATCTTGACAGACAATACATTTTTCCACAAAGTATTCTGCTTATTATGTCACACACGAGACAAAACAAAATAAGTAAATATTAACACAAGAACTTCTATTTACTTGGACACATAATTTTGAGTGGTATGGATTGAAACAGTAGAGTATAATTTTATATGCAAGAGTGAAACAAATTCCGAAAAGTATTTATTTAGAATTCAGAATCAAACCATGAAGCATTGTAGAGGAAAATCTCGACAGCATGGTTCTCGATTAGAGGAAGCTTTTCCGTCCACAAATTTTCGAATTTTTTACAGCTTCATTGTAACTTTGGATAGAAACCGAATTTTTAAAACATCATTTGCTTTTCTCTGGCAGAAAGTGAAAATAAAAATAAGCAGACTATGTGGTTGCGAGGTGAATAGGATTGGAATAGATCCCGGGAGAGATAGCCTTGTGATAGATCACGTGTTGTAGGAAGAACCAGACACGCTTGGTTTCGTTCTTCTCCGTCCTTCGATCAGCTCTTTTAGCAGTGCGAGGATGGAAGCACAATTCTGGAAGAATTTTTCAACCTTCTGACGAATTTTTCAACCCTTCTCATCCATAAAAAATATCGACAACTCTGTTCGAGAGTATCAATAACTGAAATATTTTTTCTACAGTGTATTTCGTGAATGTCCCGATTTATTCAAGGTGTTATTTTAACATTTATCATTTCGGTTGAAATTTATATGATGGTTAATTGTTTCATATCCTCAGGAAATTTATCAACATGTGTATTATTTTCTTTCTATTGCAAGTATTGAACAGTAACCATTCAAATAGTGTTCTTGTAAAATCCTGTGTTAATTATATGTTCAATTTTTTTTAATAAAAATTATCACATCTGAATTTCAAACAAAGTTATGATTCATTATCTGTAATTGAAAAAAAACGAAGGACAGTTTGTGATTAAAACGTTATTTATTAAAAGAAAATATCTTCCTCTGTAATATGAGTTAATTTTATATTCAACTTATATATTTTTTTTCTTCAACTGCACGAACATGTTATTAAGGATATGATTAGGTAACGATAATGATTAGGATTGTTCATGCATTTTTTAAAAACGTATCTAAATCTCAGTTAATCATCTCATTAAACTGATACTTTCAATGCATATGTTACAAAAGGAAATTACAACGGATATAAACATTACACGTTTCTTTCTTTCATTGCAAGGATAAAAAGGAAAATGATATGTTCGTCAATCTGCCCTTTTCTTGTACATCTTGATGTTCATCTTGTCTAGATTGGTATTAAAGATAGGAAAATTATACTAAACTCAATTTTTATTCTACTTTTAGGTAGAGTACTTCATGGAAAAAAATTGTCATATCTAATTATGTTCTATCAATATAAGAAGCTTCTTTAAAAAAAAAAGAAATCTTTTGCTTCTGTTATCTATATAAAACTTTTCGGTTCTTCTCTAGAATGATGACATGCTACACAGTAATTGATCTAATTGACAGGACACATTAAAAAGTGTAGGTGCCACGATGTAACTGATCTGTAGAAGCACCAAATTTTCAATTAAAGGGAGGGCTTCAAATAGAAGGAACGCCTCAAATTGTAAAATGAGTGACGTAAGAATGAGTTGATCATTCTGTTCTTTTGCTTTTTTAAATTGCTTATGTATATTGAAAAAGACCAGCTGGATGTTGAATTCCTCTTTCTTGTATTCTTTTTTCTGTAACAAGCACCAAATGTCATTTGGGAATGATTACATATTCGAGTTTTTTATATGTGTCCAAAAAATAATATTAATAATAACCCAAGATGTGACAATAGGAAGATGCTCTTTTTCTCGGACACATTGTTCTATCTCTGACCCTGAAAATTACTCTCTTCTTCTCTTTTTCTACCTATATGAACTTGCAGTTGTAAGGCTGTATGTTTCCACAAGAGATGATCGATAAGAATTGTAAGGTCAAATAATTCTAATCATATGCTATATCATCCGATAACCAGTCGAATGAACGGCAACACATTCAGAATTTTATTCATATTGTTTTGTTAATTGCTATTTCTCTCGTCAACGGTCATCAAAACGAAAGAGAACGAGAAAATTTCTACTCGTGTTCATGATTATAATTAATGAGAACGTTGATAAAGAAGGAGAAGAAGAAAAGAAAACGAAAAGAAAGGAAAGAAAGAGAGTGAATAAGAGAATTCTCGTTCTTTCTCATTTTTAGAAGAGATCACTATTTGACAATCCAAACAGATTGACTAAATACAATGATTACTTGCTGATCAAGTATATACTTCTATATTCAATATGCATTCTGCCCTCAGGTTTCATTTTATTTTTAAAATAATATTAAAAAAAAAAACTATTCTCAATTTAGACCAAAACCATCTGCTAAAATTCCTCCATCATTAATTCCACCAACGGTAACTCATATAAAAAAACCATCTATTAGTCAAAATGGACATCATGAAAAAGCAATAGTGAATGTCAAACAACATCATGAAAAAGCAATAACTAATGGTAAACAATCTCATTCAAAAGTAACATTAAATGAAAATGGTCATAATCATGATCATACAAAATCAAATAATTTAATATCAGAAAAATGTACATGGTCATTAGGTTTAATTAATTCAAAAGGAAAATATTTAACAGCTGAAACTTTTGGTTGTAAAATAAATGCTAGTAAGTTATATTTTAAAATCTTTATTATTTTCTTTTTCCTAATCTAAATATTCTAGCTGGTACATGTTTAAAAAAGAAACAAACATGGACAATTATTTATAACATTCCAAATGATTGTGTTTATCTACAATCTTCACTTAATCATTATTTATCAACAGATAAATATGGTCGTTTAAAATGTGATGGACATGATATGGTTGATGATTGTCGTTTTCAACTTGAATATAATCAAAATGGTCAATGGGGATTTAAATCCTTAACTTATGGCATGTATTTAGGTGGAGATGTTGATCAACTTCATTGTTTTAGTAAAACACCTGAATGGTGGTCACCACATTTAGCTCTTTATCCACAAGTAAACCAAAAAAAAAAAAACTTTATTTTTTTCCTCCTATAAAAAATTTCTTAACTAAAATTTAGATTAATCTAAAACATGCTCTACGTAAACGTTATGCAAAATTAAATGATGATGAAATACATATTGATGATATTATTCCATGGGGTAGTGAAGCTATTCTTACAGTTGAATATTTTGATGGACAATATTGTATTCGTTCATGTAATGGATATTATTTTCATAAAGATGGAAAACTTATAACAAAAAAAACTCATGATACATTATTTACAATTGAACTTTTTAAAGGATATTTAACATTTAAAGATTGTAATCATTGTTATTTAACAGCTATTGGTCCATTAGGTATAATGACAACACGAAATAAAATCGCTGGTAAAGATGAACAATTTTTATTAGAAGAAAGTAAACAACAAATATGTTTAATTGCACCAAATGGAAAACATGTTTCAATAAAACAAGGTGTTGATTTATCAGCAAATCAATGTGAAAAAGATAATAGTAGTATATTTCAACTTGAATATGATGAACATCTTGAACTTTATCATATTCGTACTTATAATAATAAATATTGGAAACTTGAAGGTCATGGTGTACAAGCAACAGCAGATAAACGGTAAGATTAAAATTTTGAAAATAAAACTATGTTTTTTTTATTTATTATTGCCAAAAAAAAAATTAATTTAGTTCAATAGAAACTGGATTTTATATACAATCAACAGGTAATGGACATGTTACATTTCAAGCATCAAATGGTAAATATATTATTCCACATGCAACTGGACATATGCGAGCTATTGGTGAACAATTAAATTCAATGGAAAG